CTCTGCATCTGGAAATAACCCTTATATAGTCTTATTGTGGATTTGTACCGGTCGTATAGCTTGCATTTATTCATAGACTCAACTATCAACCTTTTCTAAATGAATGCCATACTCGGGATTTGCAAGTGTTCCTTCCTAATTAGTGCTCTAGCTCGTAGTACATGAGATCTAGTTACAGCGTCTTACGCTGGCATACCCAATTAAGTTGACATATCTGTTGATATACAGATTAAGTATTCAATAATTGTCACCGGTAGGAATTGAACCCTAGATCTGCCACTTGGGGATGACAACTTGACCACTTCACTAAGTCGCCACACCCTAGTAATTCAGATGTTCTACCACCTTACTTTGGCATCTTTATATTATTTAAAAAAATGTATATAAGCAATTATATTAACTACTTTCATAATATTATATTATTTACAAGTAATATCTTTTTTTACTTTGCAATTTTGTAATTTTCACAATATTTATAGTAATATAATTTTTTTAGTTACTGCAACATCCTAATAGACTAAACAATACAAGATAGTAATTATGTATTGTTAATATATAAAAATAACATATAAGTATTCATACTAATTACATGCAGAGCTGTTAATTCAACTAATTCTTATTAACATTTTTACTAAAGCTATGTGCTTTTTTACTAGCCATATAAACTTTATATGCTGGAATAGTATATGAATTACAATTTTCTTTATTAACTTTTTTATATTTTACTGATTCTACTTGTATTTGAATTTTTAAACTACTCTGAACATATATAAATAGATCAAAATTGCAATCCATATCATATAGGAAGGAAGTTAAGACTGAAATAGATTTTTTCTTCACTGCATTGTATCATTCTGCAAACTTTATAAAAGCTGCCTGAAGTTGCAGTCTACAATTTTTATAATCATGTTTTATTGTTTTAATAAATGATTTAAAAAAAGCTAAATTATATCTAAAAATAAAATCTCTAATAAGCATGTATAAAAATATATAAATAAAATGCAAAATACATACTCTGCTACAGTAACTTGGTCTACTTTAAATTCTTGTAGCTTTTAAGTTTTATCTGTTTCTTGAGGCATATTAATTGATAAGTTATATTCATGATATTTATATTAGGTATTATGCAATACATTCTATATAGTTATTAGTGTTGTTTTCATACTATATAAAGGAAGTCCAGAACATAATGACAGTATCAAGAGTTGTCACCTATTCCAAAGCAAATCAATATACTTTTATAATTACAGATATATGCTATAATAATTAGTTTTTAACTTATGATAACATTCTATCATTTTAGTTTCTGTTCACATATATAATATTTGCTTCATATCATTTATTATAAGAGATTTAGGGTTTTTATTTATGTTATGTTTTATATTATGAAATTAATACCAAAAAGCTTGAAGGATATGAAATATATATAACAATTGCATTAATTGTAGTCAGGAACTCTATAATGCATTTCTCTTAGCTTTAGAATTGTTAGTAAAAAAAACTATTGAGCTAACAATAGGACCACTCTATAGAATGCATAAGATAAAAGAAGATTCTTTAAAAAATTCATTCATTTTTCCAAGGCTACTTCTAATTTATTAGACATTATTATAACCTTAAAAGGTAATGCATCTGTAATACAATTTGTATAAAACAATATAATCAAGTATTTAATAGTTCAAAGAAAGCAGATATGTCAATGCAACAGAGTTTACTCATCTGATAAATTTTTTCATAGACAGGCTTATTAAATTAGTGACAATACAAAGTATATAGACCTTTTCTGATAATGAATTATATGCTTGAAATATAGCACAACCTTTTTCTGAACTATTGTAATTATTAACTTTTTGCTTAAGGTGTTGAAACATTAATATACTATTCTGCTCTCCAAGGTGTTTATTGTGATATGTATTATTCAAACAAATGTAAGACATAACCATAGTCTGAATTTTTCACATGATCTGCTAATAGTCATATAAGCTCTTGCTCATTGTTTGCATGAAATAAAGACTATTCTCATAAGTATATAGGGCAGTTGCTGATGAATATTTATTGTTAAAAAGTTCAATATATTTACTACAAACATCATTTTAACACATCAAAAACTAAGAGATTCCACAGAGTAAATAATATGATTATACACAAATTTGATATTAATTTCAAACTGATGAGTCATATGAAAATGCTAACATTCAAGCTGAAAGTAAATCATAGCTGTATAGTTTGTATTTCTTATTTATAGTGAATGCAGATTTTTTAAAATAAAATCTATTTGTTTTTGCTATACTTTATCACTGTATATACAATGCTATAATTCTTTAAAAAGAACCTTTTTCCCTTGAATTTTAAACTCTTTTGTTTTGAGCATTGTTGTTTTTAATATTTTTTCAAATTATAAAAACCACTGCATGCACTTTCAACATTACTAATATTTACAAAAAGGTTTGCTTTGAACTAATCAATTGAAAACTCTTCTGCTGTTATATAGTTAAAAAGTTATTTAAGTATAGCTGCAATGTTATTAGATAATAGCTTTGGTGACCTTAAAATATTATTAGTATTATATGAAGGTTTCATTGTATTTGAGACTGATGATCATTCTGAGACCTTACAATCAAAATTTAAAGTAAATATGACTGCAATGTTATTAGATAGTGACTCCAGAGAATCTAGTATTTTAGCATCATATAAAGGTTCCATTGTATCTAAGACTAATGATCATTCTTAGACCTCACAATCAAAATTTGGAGTAGTATAACCACAATGTTATTAGATAATGACTCTGGAGGCTCTAACATTTCAGCATCATATGAAAATTCTATCATATTCAACGATTGTTCTGAGTTCACATAATATGAAGGTTCTATTGTATTTGAGACTGACAATTATTCTGAGACCACATAATCAAAATTTGGAGTAAATATGGTTGCAATGTCTATTATATTCAAGGCCAATGATTGTTCTGAGACCACATAATCATAATTTGGAGTATGTATGGTTGCAATGTTATTAGATAATGGTTCCGGTGGCTCTAAAAGATTATTCAGCATTTCAGCATCATATGAAGGTTCCATGATATCAAAACTATTGATCACGAAGCACCATGAAATGAATCTTATTTTAAATTATGAAGTAAAAAGATATTATAATAGATTAATAACCTATCCTCTATAAGTTTAACAATTCGTAACCTTACGCTTTATTTTAAATAAGACACATATGGTTTTTACAGCTAACTGCCAAGAACAAAAAAAAAGCCAAAATTTTGATTTATTTTATTAAATATATTTTATCTGATTGCATCATATTATCTTTGCTTGATAAACTTTTAGATGCATTAATTAACAATTAATCATTTCAGGCTCAGGTAAGCTACGGTATTATTACTAATTGCATCATTTATATAACTTTTAATTAATATACTTTAATTAACTCCCTTTTACGTCCAATTAATTAATCATTTCAAATAACGCTGAAGTATTATTTGTACTGAGAGAATAGATCGTCTTCTTGATTTTAAAGATACAAATAACAATGATACATTGTATTAAAAGCGGTGATCTACTCTTTCAATTCTCTGGCTTTCAAATAATGCCCCAGCGAGTTCGTCATAATACGGCATCTAGATACACGGTTTTTTAAATATGATTTTGTCCTCACGTGCATCCAATTTATACAATTAATAAGCACCGACAACTTTTGAACATTGGGTTTTTTTAAAAAGAAAATCAACAATATATCAGTTCATAGTATATAAGAAATTTAATCCTAATAAAATTTGTTTATAAGTATTCGACTTGCAAACTATATTTGGTTTTATACTTTAACGTTAATACGCTTTTAACGCGAATATATGTACTGATGCAGAATTGATCGAACTGTATATCACAAGTACTACCACGTGATGGATGATCGGCAAAAGCTGGTACAGAATTTTTTTGTGCGTTCGCTATACTAACTATGTCCAACATATTCATTATGTACACCAGTGTTGTTGACTGGAAGCTGGAACTTCACTGGACGTCCAGTGTTCCAGTGGTTCCAGTGAAGCTTTCACTAGAAGAGATTATTTCACTGGAACCGATATAATGCTGGCCAATAAGATTAAATAAGAATTAAGGTTATTATAAACACGTGATATGCCTGATATCCAATCAAGTTGCAAGAATACTTTTCATTTTACTATTACATTTAACTCAAAAATAGAGAAGTCTACTGTAAAGCAAACACCAGTGACTTATATCCATAATCACCACAAATTTTTCATTTAACTACTATTAAAA